TTCAATAGTCTCGTTCAATGAGTTTTTTCAGATCGATCATATTTTTTTGGAGGTGCCTCCATTCAGTAGATAGATCAATGATCATATGATTTTATTTTTGTACATCTCAATTATTTCTGTCGATTTATGTATCACGTCGTATGATTACTAATATTAAACGTATGAAAGCAATTCGAATATTAATCATATTATTGTTCGATTGAAGTTGTTCCAGAAAATTCATAGAACAAGTGTGCCATTCATAACATATATCGTTTATGGCTATTTTTAATCACTTGTATCGGTTTATGTATCATTTAATGTACTGAACACTGCTGGAAAAAATGATATGATACTAAAATGCGTTTCTTAAGATTGTTGATGATTTATTTTTGCAAGATTCAATTGGCTCCTTGTACCAATGATTTTGTATCTATCATTTGGCATATGTCATTTAGTTCTATGGATTGATGTAATTTTTTCCACCATGCATTACAATTAATGTAAGATAAAGATATTACAAATCAGCTTTGCGACATTTAACGATATTTTTTTTCCGTGGCTTATCGAACTCAGAATAGATAGCAATGATGCGATGTCTTATCGGATATATTTTTTTGATTTCGTACGCTCTATGTAAAATGAGTAGAAAAAAGTTGCTTGATTTTTGTTTTTCTCTATTCAAGTTTTCATATTCGATTGACATGACATATTCAGTTTTAGGAGCTGCTATTGCTTGTTGATCCTCTCTTACAAGTATGCTTCTCATTGTAATTGAATACGAGAATTGAAAACAAAGTAATCTTACTATTGTTATTCCTGTTTTTTTTTATCATTTTGGTTACCAAATAGAATTTATTAAAGGATCCAATTCATTGATATATTTTTTTTTGTGTAGATTATTGCTTTGTAAGTTACTTAGTTAAACTTGTTTTAATTTGAGTTCAGTTCAAATATTACTTCGCCAAATGAATAATGAATATTTTTTAAAGTAACCTGGTAGTTTTTATACGATGTTATCGGTTTTATTTTGAGTATACATGAGAAGAAGATAGAACGTTAATCATCTAGATTAGTACAATAAAATGAAAATAAACTAAATGAAGAAATGTGAAGAGAAATAAGGGAAAGCGATAAAAAAAAGTTTTTTTAGTTTATAGAACAATGTAAGAATCAATAAGATTAGTACTTACTGGGATCTAGTCAATTGGATAAAATGTAATAGTTTTCCTGAAATTTCTAGTAAACAATGCAACGACTATAATTTATGGTAAAAACTGATGTTTATCCTATTGTCATTTAAAAATCACTTGCTACTTAATATTAATTCGCTGAATAATTAGTTAATTTAAATATGAATTTACTTGAATGAGTTACCATTAAATGATAGTGATATTGTTGGGAACAGACCTAAAGGAAATCAATAATCAAAATTATTATACAAAGAAATATATCACTAACGAATTTGTATGAGTAAATAGAAAAGAAAAAACGCGTGAAACGAAAGCTATTTCAAAGCAAAAAGATGTAATGAATCAACCTTGATTATTGATACGTTAGCTATTGTTCATTTCTATTGCATAAATTGCAGTTTCTACAAAGTCGTCGCCACCTTCGTTGTTTTTAACACCAACTTTGCATCGATCATCGTATTTGGAAAATCTTCCTTTTTCACGAACAATTGTAGCAGTAAAATGTCCTGCTTTCGGACACATTGCTCCTGCCAGACAATACCTAATAATAAAAAATATTTTAGTTTTGGAAATAATTTTGTTTTGAATCATTTGTATTACGATTGCTTGCCAATTATAATTAGAAACGGTAAATGTTTAACCGTAGGCACTATTGTTTCATTTTTGCCTATATCAAATTTTATTTGTCCCACATTCAAGAGTAATACTGGTGGTGATTTATAAACAAATTGATGAGGCTCAGCAACTCGACCGGATTCACATATAAACATTGTTCTATTTAATTATAATCATTCAACATGATAAGCTTTCAAAACAATTTTCTTTTCTACTTACCGAGTTCCATTTCCGTCTCTTTCTGGAAAAAAGTCATCTTGACTATATGATCCATTGTACGATGTAGGTTCAATAGGTCCAATAGTTGCACCACAGTTTGTGATGTATTCGGTTAAGAAATTTGTCAACTTCATCGAGCTACGGTTACGACCACTAAGCTGCCTAAAAAGATATATAAATGTTATATTTTGTAGAATTGTGTACCAAAGAAATAGGAAACTTACGGCATAGATATATCGACAGAATAGTTTAACTTTTCTAACTTTGGACAATCTTTCGATCTACATGTAGATTTGATAGCATGCTTTTGTAAATCTCTTACATATTGAAATACGTTATTGTCGGCAGTTGCATACAAATCATGATGTTGACTAACATCGTTCTGATTTACATGGGTTGAATGAGTCGATATCCAGTATAATCTAGCAATATCCCATCCTTGGGCATTGACTAAATCAAATGTTTTTCGTAATTGTTCACAAATTAAAATATTTGGATCAAATAAAGAACGGAAGTCTTCCAAATGAGACATGTAAATGTAGTAAAGCAAGAATAATGAAGAATCTAATGCACATGTATTTGAAGCTGAATATCGTTTTCCCTCAAACCAAGTTGGTCCAATGTTGAAATGTGGAAATGGTAACCGTAAATCACCCACCATTGTATATTTCGGCCATCCAATTGGTAAATCGAATTCTTCGACTTGTGGCAGTTGTTGCTTTGTAAAATTAGATGTTGTTGATGTTGTTTGAGCTGATTCATTAATATTAATATTTTTTTTTAATAATGTTGTAGGTTTAATCGATTGGATATTAACAGAAATGTTTTGCTCTGTTGTATGATGCTGAATTGAAGACACACTTTTATTTTGTTCATTTAGTTCTTCTTGTGATGGATCGAAAAACTCCTGAGTTTCAACATTTTCAATAAGAATACTAAAAATTCAAATGGGAAATAATAGAAAGGAAAATTTCTCCTTCTAAAAAGAGTTGTATTGAGAAAGTGTTTTTTATTTATTTTGTCTTTTTATACTTGCAATCAAATTCATATGAATGCAATGAAAGATCTTCGATGCTCATAACGGATTGTGTAGTGAAATTCTAGGATCAATATAAGATATGAAAATGTATTTTATAGAAAAATAGACATTTAGCATTTGAACTAAACATGCAATTAAAGAGAAAGAATATATATTTTGTATAATTTGATATTGAATGTATCAAAAATAACTAGAAGAGAAAAGATGATTGCTCCCTTAATTTCTAATCAATATCGCTCTACATTTCGATTAGTTTCAATAGTTTCAAGTGAAATATATACTTTGTTATGAAAAGATTGATTATCAGTGTATACTAATCGATTCCTTGATTGATTGTATCAGCTATTGAAAAATCTATTTCCTATATGCTAAAAATTTGACTTACTCATCAAATGTTGGATTTGTTGTTCCAGTAGTTGTCCTATTTCCGTTTTTTTCATAATTGTCTGGTTGATTTTTTCTCATTCTAATTAATTATATAAAATACATTAGATCTATATGTAAATAATTGAACCAGCTTACTCGAGTTTTTCTTTAAGTCGACTTCGAATATCGCTTGCTGTTAGTACAGGTTCAACAAATTTATTAAAATAAACACCACGATTTGATATTGCTGTTCCTTTGTTTTTCCATTTTTCAGTTAAAATTGTTGTATCTACTTCTTTTTTTTTAGATCGTCCTCGTCTTTTAGACCCAGTTTGTTGAATATTGTGCATGTTAGCTTTAAGTCGAGCGCTTGTTGTTGAATATAACTTCAAAAGAAAATCAGCAGGTCGAACATTTGTTTGATGTCGAAGAATTGAATGTTTTATGATTTTAAAAAAAGATTCAATAGGAGCATTTGAAACTCGACCACATCCAAATACTTTAGACTTTGTATCATCATTCAAATCAGAAGCATATCTATTATCATGAAAAAGTTTGGTAATCGATTTTATAAAGAAGTTCCTACCGTTCATAAAATCGATGCATTAATCCAGTAAAAAGTGGTAAATAGGCGATCCATTTATAAAATACTTTTATCAATTCTTTTGAAAAAAATGAATTTTTAATATCTTTTTCATTTGGCATTTTTGATTTATCAATAAGAGTTAATAATGCTGGTGAACGTTCACAGGCCAATTTTGTGAACGGCGATTGGTGAAGAATCGGTGCTGTGGACAAGAAATTGTCATCTAATGTTGACAATTCTTGTTCAATGAAACGTTGAGTATCGCTGATACTTTCATCTTCTATAAATGTTTCAAAATCTGAATTAAAATCACCACCAGCCTGAATGAAAATGACGTTAGAGAATGAATGTCAAATTTACAAAGTTACTTTGATAACGTTATCAAGATATTCTTCAGCATTATCAAGTTCAGGTGATCCAAATATGCATACGATACAACCAATTAGTTCATAGATTTGTTCAAAATCATTGCAATTAAGTAAGACACCAAATATGACAGTTGCTTTTTGCCGAATTTTTTTTTCAATTTTAATCTTAGACAAAGATCGAGTAAATGCGTGCATTACATGAGCACAGCAGAAACGTATACATGAAATGGAATGAAGTTGTTCAGACGTATAGTTTTTTTTAACTGCATTGAAACACCATCGCAGATAAGAATGAATATTTGTTTGATTCATGGATAAAAGTAAAGCATTTAATAACGCAGGAGAGAAATCGATGACTATGTAGCTAGGTCGAAGAAAACGACCATGAGTAACAGCAATGCTATGACGAACCTTGAGCAACCAACTTGCAATAGATGCAGTTGTATGATCTGTCAACAATGCACCGGCCAGTGGCAATAAATTGGAAGAATCTTGGCCATCTTTAAAGCACATAAGATATAAGTAAGGCTTTTTTTGATCTTGTAATGCTTTGACAACAGAACCAGTAGCATCAACATAAATATATGAATCTTTAACTGATAAACAGTATTCGATAAATCGAGATAATTGAGCTTCGCCATAAAAGACACTTGCAAATGGCCATAATTGAAGTGTTTGCACATAGCCTTAATAAATACGTATATATATATACAGAGAGAGAGAACAATATTACGACTGAATAGTCTATTATACTTATATAAATTAACAAATCCAAATTACCCTTATTCTCGATCTTTGAAGTTGTATCCGATGCAAACATAGAGAGCAACAGTATTTTGATTTCAGTAAACATGTCTGCATCAAGACGCATGCTATTAGCTTGTTCTTTAACAGCTGTTTTAAGAACATCCATGGAAGGTACTTGAGTGTAGTTATTGCATCGTAAAAGATTTTCATCAGCATTAAGTACGTTAGTTTCATATGTTTTCAAAGTACCATGATCCATAGCTGCTTTAGCTAAAAGAAATCAGAGAAAACGTTCTTACTAGTAACTATTTGGAAGACATTTACCCATCTTTTTTCGCCGAATTCCTTTCATTGGACGACCAATAGATATTGATTGATCAGCATGCCGTTGTGTACCTTCGATTTGCACCCAAAAACTAACATTATGACCAACTACTATTGGTTTAGCCATACACATATAAACAGTTAAAGTACATTCAGGATACGAACATCGACCGTAACATTGAAATAAAGATGTGTTATACTTTCGAGAATCTTTTTTTCGAAGAGTTGATTTGTTAAAAGCAAGACTGCATGTAACCAATTTGTAATCAACCAATTTATCATAGAATGCATCACCCCATGATTTATCCATATAATGAGAGTTATTGTCTTTTTTGTATATCTAAACAATTAAAATGTTCATTGAAAACTGAATATATGAGAATGTGCTGTTAATTTTATATCTATTAGAGAAACTTACACAACGCCACTCCTCATAGGAAAATTCGACCAAATATTTTCGTGGCTCACCAACACCACAATTTGTGTTCGACGACGCTTTACATTTAGATCTTGTACAAATCTTCTGATAGCTTGGCACTGAAGAAAGTGGCTGAAGTTTGGTTTTTTTCTTTTTATCCAATTCATAGTTGATGAAACGAGATCGAAGTGTTGACGATTTACGATTCCATGTGCTATAAATATATTTTCGAATGCCAATGGTATTTTTCATTAATAGCCGACAAGCCAAATCATCGGCTAATTCAGACCAAAGAGAATTGTTTGAACGCCATCTTCCATCATGATCTAATTCAGTTACTCTATTCCCAATACGTGATATAGAAGTAATCATTTCATCGAGAGGAATACTTATATGTTCTCCTCGTTTATCCATACCTGAAACGAAAAACTGCATGTTAAGTTACAAAGGACACATACATTTTCAAATCATAACTTCATGAAGAGTCTATAACGAAACTCGTCTACAGATTTATCAGTTTATTTAACACATTGTAACATAAAAATAATTAGAGCAACACACTTCTTGTAAATGAAATACTAGTTTTCATTATTAATCGAATACTATTCATGAATCATAATAGAATTGACTCCTGTGAAAATTAATGATCAATCGACATTCAATCGGTTTCGATGAAGTAAATTAATTTTTCCTGTAATCATAGTCTTTCTTGTCTATTTCCAATTCAATTTGATTCGGGCATTAGTAAAAGAAGACTTTAGATGCTATGTTATATATCCCGTCTATTTAAAATACATATTCAAATCAATTACAAAACATCAGACAATCAACTTATTTTATAAAACAGGAGCACATAACTTACCAAAATTTTTCAATGGTTCCGGAATACAAATCTTCATAAAAAATAATGATATTGTTTTGAAAACTACACCAAACGTTTACTGCATCAACAATGAATTATCATGGTGATATTGAAGTGACAGCAAACAGAACAGCCATTCAATTCTATTTCCGAAAACAAAACGCTTCAGTATTTATAAACAAAACGGCTAACAGTTTTCTTCAACTGTTTTTTTAAACAAAATTCAAAGTTTCGTTCGCTATAACCAATCATGCCACTAATCTGTAAACTGTTATGCAACGGAAATCACACGATTGTTCGTTGACACACATAAATGGACTGAATTGATTAAACAATGACTAGTTTGTCTGACATAATCGCTTTGAGAGACACGATTCCTTGTCCAGCATCCTTTAACAATGTAAATAGTACATCAATCAATATGAATAACTCAGATGTATCTAAATATAACTATATAATCATTGATCTATCTACTGAATGGAGGCACCTCCAAAAAAATATGATCGATCTGAAAAAACTCATTGAACGAGACTATTGAATTGTATTTTGTTCATTATGATAGTAAATGATACATCAATCGATAGAGCTCATTGAGATGTATCAACAGATATACAGATAAACACTGGCACGTCTGGTAACTGGAATCGCTTCAAGAAATACTTTCTCATTGATGGGACATCACTGATTGAATGGATCTTTTCGATGGTTCGCTATTCATGTCGATAGTAAATGACGCATCAACAGTTAGATCTCGATGAGCTGCACCGAGGGAGGTATGAATACTCATTGATACACTTATTCAAATGAATATCAGTCAAACAAATAACTACTGACAACCGTATATATTTGATGTATTAGTGTTGTTGGTGTCAGAGTAGTGCTAATCATACAAATTAATACATCGATCGATAGAACTCATCAAGCTGCATCGAATGGTATGTAAATCATCATTGGCACACATAGTCAAGCGAATCGATCTCGCGAATGATCACTTTTTTAGACGGATTTATTAGCATTTGGGCGCTTTTGATGTTATAATGATAATAATAATATCAAGCCATACATCTATTGATAGAACTCATCAAGCTGCATCAAATTATATGTAAACCATCATTGGCTCGCATACTCAGACCAATCGTTAAAGGAAATGACCATTTTTTTAGGCGGGTTTATTAGTATTTGGGCGCTTTTGATGGTATAGTGATAATAATAATATCAAGCCATATATCGATTGATAGAACTGATCAAGCTGCATCGAATGGTATATAAATTATCATTGGCACGCATAGTCAGGCGAATCGATCACGAGAATGATCATATTTTTAGGCGGGTTTATTAGTATTTGGGGTCTGTTGATGATATAGTGTTACTAATAATATCAAGCTATACATCGATTGATAGAACTCATTAAGCTGCATCGAATGGTATATAGATTATCATTGACACACATATTCAGACGAATTGCCAAAGAAAAGAAAAATGACTTCAATTACATAACAACAACATAATTCGGGTCTCATAACTGATTTATTAATAGTTGCTATATGAAATTATACATCAATCGATAGGTCCTATTAAACTTCATCGAACGAGGTAGGCTTTTTCAGTGGCATGTACTTTGGATCGAATCTGTGAATGATGCTATTCGTGATTAATGCGCCATGTTTTAATTTAGAAAGCTTGTTGTTGTTTTAGTGTTGTTATATACATCAAAGGACATATCAATCGATAGCGCTCAGGAATCTGAGTCGAATCAATTAGATTTTGATGTTGGCACGGGTTGTATGGCGAATCGGTAGATGAAGTATCACGAAATTCCCGAATTTTAGTGGTACTTTGTGTATTTCAGGTTGATAAATTTTTAAGATGGTAGGTTTGAGTACACTACTGGATAGAACTCATCGAGCTGCATCGAATGATATAAGTTTTGAAAAGTGGCACGACGAGGTATCGAATATATTTAGGAAATATGAAAAGCGCACATTTTGTCCCATGGTGATAAATCATATTTTGATAGGTGTCTCTTTTGCCTTCATGTTATCGTAATTTTTGAACATAGCTTTAGATAGAGCTCATCGAGTTCTATCTGGCACGCTACATTCAACAATTGGCACGGTTGATGGGACGAATAGTTTCAAGAAAAATTCGAATCTGTCGCTAACTTCACTTACATTATTATTTAACTATTTGAGAATGCTGCAATTCATGCTTGAATTATTTTTTTAATTATTACAGAAAAAAAATAGAATCAGATGTCTTTCTACACAGCAC